CCTACTCGACGCCAGCTTTCCAACGGTGCCCCAGACATCTCTCCGGCGCCAACATTGGTAGAGTTACAGCCTGTTATGAAAGTGGTCTTTACCTTGGCGGAGTTCTGGCGGGTTTCTGGTATAGTGCTGACTTTGATGCCAGATTCCCCGGACGTCCTTTGGGCGCAGCGTCTCATGCTCGGCGGCCTGGTTCTACTCGACGCCGGCTTTCCAACGGTGGCTCAGACGTCTCCCCGGCGCCATTATTGGTAGAGTTACAGCCTGTTATAAAAGCCATGTTTACTCAGGTACAGTGCTGACTTTGACACCAGATTCCTCGGGCGCCGGGGTTGTATTCAATACTGGCTTTTCACAGGTGGATTGAATGTCTATCTAGCAGTAATACCCATGGTATTATCATCTGGAATGAAGGGGGAATAGTGTACTAACTGGTACTCGCACTTGGGGGCTTGAGATTTTCTTTCCGTCTACTTTATTATAGAACCAATAGCAATGCAAATCATCTTTATTTTGACACTTTTTACAATATACATGATATGTGACTTAGGTCACAAGGTCTAGTCCTGGTATTGTATCCTGAAAATGTAGAAGTGCTCGCTTGCATCCTGAGAATGGCTACTGAACCTAGTTGCATCCAGAGAATTTAAGGTGTGCTTGGTTGGGTTCAGAGAATTTCCAGAGTGCTCGGTTGCATCCCAACTTTGGCACCAAGAATCGTTACGTCCTGAGTCGCGGTTTGCGTCCTGTGCGTCCTGTGCGTCTGACGCACAGGATGCACAGGACGCAAGCTTTTATTTTTGCTGATGAATGTATAGAGTGCAAGAGCAATTGTACAGAACTTGCAGCTTTGCTTTATTGCATCTGAGAAATTTGAACATCTTAGTAAAAATACAGTACAGAACTGGTTGCTTCCAAGTGGTGGTGGATGGAAGTCAGAGGTACTGGCCAGGGCAAGTACAGGTATGTTAGTAATAGGAGGGAGTAAAGCTGATACCCAGTCGCTTTGTGATCTTTTTCCAGATATCTTTCAACAGGTAGAGGATGTTCTATGTAGCCTTCATCGAACTGGTCTACCAATCAATACTCTGCTGGCAAGGAATGCAATCCTTGAAGTGATTAGACAAATTCAACTAAATATATTGAATAGGGTTCTGGACAAAGGAATTGGAAGAACTGTTGTGATTTCTATAAGCTTTGCTAAAGGATTTCTGACTGAAAAGTTAATGTAGAGCTATCATGCTAATACAAAGTCCAGTCAAAAGCTACCAATCCAATGGGAGCAGTACTGTTATGAAACCTTTCTCTATCTGGTATTTTTTATTTATACACAGCAGATTCATAAATTTCTTATTGTTAACTGTGACCAAACTGGAATCATCTTAGTACCTGGTGGGACTGATCATACTTATAAGCAGAAGGAGGCCAAGCAGGTTGAAGTCCATAGCTATAAGGAAAAAAGAGCTTTTACCTCCTTGATATCTACCTCTGTGTCTGAGAATCTTTTACCTACGCAATCAGTCTAGTATGGAAAAACAAGTAGATCTCTGCCTAGTATGGAATACTATGCACCTGAAGAGACAGAGAATTATATTTTCTCTACTAATCCAACTTATTACTGGAGTAGTTTAAGTACAATAAAGGTTTACTTTGAAAGCATCATTATCCTATATCGTTCACATATATTAGTCCAGTATTCCCTTCCTATGAATTTGAAGATGATTATCTATATAAATTATTAGAAATTTTATCATAGTGAGGCCATGTTAAAGTAGCTAGAAGAAACAAATCTCTGGTTGATTGTAGTTTTTGTACTAGCTAGTTGCACAGGTATTCTTCAACCTTGTAATATTGGATTGCAGTGAGTTTATAAACATCACATCAAGCTTACTGCAGCTGAGTATTTCCAGGAAATAGTGAGAAAGCAACTTGAAGATAGAATTCTACTAGGAAATATTAGGATAGGGGATAACATTATAGAGTTATACAATCAAACCACATGCTGGATACTTAATGCTTCCCAGTAGTTGCAGCATCCAGATCAGAACATACTAATTTTAAAAGTCCAAAGTAACTGCAAAGTCAAGACTTTTGGTCTATCCTGAAACTATATTTCATCTCCAGACTTGGTCCGTCAACTATTAACCAAGTCTGAAGAGATTAGAAAGGTTGTTATAGGTACTAATGTGGATCACAGAGGGGTTGAAGAGTTACCTGATGATGGGCAAGATGCAAGTGATGATGAGAATGTTCCACTAGCTATTACTAGTATACAAGATGCAATAGTACAAGATTCTCCTGCAGGAAATCAACTGAGCACTAATTTTAAAATTAGTACAGTGGGAAATCAGGAGGACAATGCCAGTGGGCTGGCTGATTACAGGGAAAATAGACTTCCAGAAGGTTTTCTTTATAATATAACCTTAGAGCAAACAGGAGGTATTAGAAGGGATGTAAGTATTGCAGAGTGGAAAACTACATTGTTGGGTAATCAGGAAGTTGTTGGTACTATTGGGGGTAGTGGCACTGAGAATATGTTGGAGTTGTAGGCAGTTGTTGATTCTCAAAGCTAGATTCCTAATACTGTAATCCTATAAAAGGTTCTCTGATGTAAAATACTAAATGTATGCAGACTATACTACGGGAGACAAAATTTAGACACGGACTGACATGTTCTAAACTTTGGGACACAAGCCAGCTGACACTGCCAAAGTGGATCTTTGGTGGGACAGGACAAACTATACTGACAGCTGACCATTCCAATTGACCTGAACACTACAGTACAATAGAATTTGTTTAATTTATTTTTGTTTATAAAATTTATCCTATTCTACTAACTCATCAGAAGTCTAACACTAATAAAAAAAATGTATCTCTTATTTATTATTGCTCATCACTCACTCAATAGGGTAAACTAAGACCTCACCAGCAGTTTTGGCCATATGCCACCAAGTCCTGAGATGGCGAATCTCGCAATGCGCAGACAACGTTTCTTAAGAAGGGTTAACTTAGTACTTTCCTGACCTAGCATACAGCCCGAGTGCTCTGGCCTTGTTTGATCTTCTCAACTTGCCAAACTAAACCTATCCCGGGCTAATGGCTCGGCTTTTGCAGGAATCCTGAGATGGCGAATCGCAAAAGTGTTTACGTTATGGAGCAAGGAAACTGAGCCATCGCAACCAAACAGGCCCCTACAGTAGTCTGTTTCAGCTGCACGAGGCAAATCTATGATCCCCGTACTCCTCCGATTAGTCAAGTTCCGGTACTCGGGTATGGACGTGGGTGACCGGACAGCCAGGGATTCTAGAGGCCTGACCGTTCTTGCCCTCATAGGAAATAAAAGAGTGAGTCTGGCATAAGAATTGCTCAAACAAGCAAGAAGCTTTGACACCTCTAATCCCTGGCTGTCCAGTCACCCACGTCCATACCCGAGTAACAGGGCATTGTGCCAAGCTTGAACCAGGCTGAATGTGTCTCAGCGAGCCCCTGGAGGCTTAACCTCCTCCAGTAGCACCCATTCCTACTATCATCACTGGTTATTTTCCCAACCCACCCAGCTCAGCCCACTGTGGATTCAAATTGAGATCTTCCACACGATTTCACGAGTTCCGACGGTCCGTGTTCCTATGATGTCTCTACGAGTAACTTAACCCGCCCACCCCTGTGTCCTGCAAAAAAAAAAATCCTTGTTCGCCACCATCGATCAACAATTCGGCCTGTACTGTACCGTCGCGCCCCGTTGGGCTGCGGCATCGGTTAGGCGAACTAGTGTTTTTCTCGAGTACCGCAAAAACTCCCGAAACCCGCCACCAGAGATTTTAGAAGAAATCAAGGCCTAAACCATAATAGGCTTCGCAGTCTGGTGTAGGTCAACAATATGACGAATAGCAGTCGAAGAGATCCAGCAAACTCAGCCTCCCCAAGCTATTCCTTCTTGGTGCGTTTTGTCTCTGATCGGGGGGATCCGAGGGCAACAGGTGATGGCGATATGATACCGTAAAAACTCGAATACTGTACGTAGAAGAAAAATGCGGTAGGACGTTGTACTTGCCTCACCTAGAAGGGCGCCGTATATTCCTTTTCTTTTGTCTCAGCTGAGGGCTGAGTTTGCGATGCCCCCCCAGCTTAGCCGAGACGGGGAATTCCAACGTCCTAGCACATTTTTCTTCTATTCGAGTTTTTATGGTACCTTGCACATGTACGAGTACAAGTACGAGAACTTGTACCGGGCAACCCTATGAGCCGTGTAACCCCGCGGAGTGACAATCCCGGCTCCTCTTTCAGGTGAAACCGGCCCGCTGGTCACCTGCTTCGCACATGTGCCTTCGATCGGCGGATGAGCACTAAAGGCGCACAGTATGAAATCAACAAAAAGCCGATACAACACTGCTTTCCGAATGCCCTCAACCAAAATCACACGTTTGGGGAGATATAGCTTCATACAAGCGCTCAGAAGACACTCCTCTATAATCCCATCTTTCCCGATTTTCGATATGCGCGTACAAGTGCCGTTGTAAATTATGTAAGCAAGTACACCGAATCACTCGTGGCGTTAATTTCAAGGGGCTATATAGCACTACAACTACACCACTTCCGCACTCTCCCCACCTACGGCCCAGTACCCAGCGCCCCGAGATAAATGGACACACGGCGACCCCCCCGCCCCCCGCCCCCCGAATCTGGGTGCGTTCCCGCGACTATGCTCAGCCACTACCGAAATCACGAAATATTCTTCTAGTCCTCATATGATATGTGGAGAGCCCGGGATATGCCTGTATCACCTGCCCCGAGCGCAGTTCGAGTTACAGTCTAGGCATCCTGCTACCTGGCGAGAGGAAATCACCGGTAGGTCGGCTACCCGTATGGGGGCATTGAAGTCTAGGCATACTGTTACCTGGCGAGAGGAAACCACCGGTGGGTTGGCCACCCGTATGGGGGCATGGTATGATATTTTATGTGGGGGGCGTATATCTAGTATATCTAGTATATCTAGACTTCCTTCTTCCCCCGACACCGCTGTATCGATAAGACCCAACAAACCTTTCCCCCTTGTCGTCCATTACAAAACCGTAATACTTCACTGCTCCTTCGCTCTCTGTGCCCATGACTCCTCAATCTATCGGGAATATCTGGCCTCAATTGGCCCAGACTCAGTCCGGGCCGCCAATCTCTGGCCATGGGGGAAACCCCACCTCAGCCCAACCCTCACCCTTCCATGGATGGGAGAACTATCCCCTCACGCTGACTAACTACAATGCCCTAAGTCAGAATGGGAGTGTGATTTCGAAGAACCTGCACGACGACTCCAAGAGGCTATTTCATGGCCCCAAGGCCGCTTCGCTGGAGATACTAGACGTTCTCGAAGCCCCGGATGCGAACTGTATGCCACGAGCCACATAACCCCGGATCCCGTGTATCTAGCTAACAGAGAATTTTGGGCGTAGCACCGTTAATCCAGCGATACGCCGATCATCATTCATTCGAGGAGATCCTGACGGTAAGTTGGCCCATCGGATTCCCTCGTCACCCGCTAATTATCTCCTACAGGACGAGAGAGAGTTCCATTTTAGATGCTTGTAGGTCCTCCAGGCAGAGAGAGGGATCAGTCGCAGAGACTGTGTATTTGGCCCGGAACTAACACTTGCCAGCACAATCACGCCGAGCCACTCATGGGACAAGTTACCTATAACAGAAGAAATGCTCCGAAAGCTCCTGACATTCTATAAAGTTTCTCCGGACTTCCTGCGAGTGGTTCATAATTTTGGGAAACAGGGCCGGGAACGGATAGATTCCTCAGCTGTGTTCCGCCGCCTGCTCAAGCCAAAGGGAACGCACCCCACAGCTTACGTCTCTGGTATTCTCTCCCCCAAATCGCCACGAAAATTTCCCACACTAACACCTCCACCACCAGAGATCTGCATCCGAATGGCTCAAGTTGAAAAACACGGCAGAGTAGACCCAGATCTGCCGGACCGTGACCCTTGGTCGGTCCGCCAAATTGGCTGTTACCAAAGATTTGACTACGAGAACGACTCCTCCGTCTGTATTCACATAATGCCCCCGAAGGATGTGAAATCCCGCCTCGCCGAATCCCTGGCGAGAGGGAGATTTAGCAAAGAATCGGAGCATTTAAGCCCTCTATCGCTGCATCTCGCCTTCGTCACGACTGCGATGCAAAATTGGCAAGCCTATGTCGAAGATTTGGAGTCTGAGCTTGTGAAACGTGTAAGTTCTCATGATGCTTGCAAACCAATCCCGTTCATGCACTAACAATCTTCAAACAGCAAGAATGTGTCCTCTTGACGGACGGGGAATGGGAGGATTGTAGGAGAGGCGTGGGGGGAGGCGTTCGAGCACGTTATTCGGACCTTCGGATGCTACAACGATACTTTCGGGACAAAGTCCTGAACACCATATCTGTCCTCAACCTTAACATGGATGTGTTACAAGGGCTGCAAGCACATGCTGAAGGGTTACGGTCCCTCGGGCTGCTTACTGATGCTGCTTACAAAGATGCATCAGACACACTCGAGTATAATACTTCCATATTACGAAATCTCCAAAGAGATACGGAAACTATACTCAACAAGGCTGGTAACACGGCTCAGCTGGTGTGTTTCTCTCTCCGCCTCGCAAAATTAAGACTGACAGGCCCAAGATTCAAGTAATGATCGAAATTCGGAATGATGGGCTCATCCGGAGCTACACCCTAGCAAACAAAAAGCTCGTCGACGTGGCGCGCGATAACCACCAGGACAGCAAACGCATGATAGAACTCGCCAGACTAGCAAAACATGACTCCAGGACCATGAGAATCGCAACCATGCTGGCCACAATCTACCTCCCCGGGACATTTGTCGCCGTAAGTGCTCCAATTCCCACAGGCTTCAGCAGCGCGTCCTGACCCACCCCCCCAGACAGTCTTCGGAATGAATTTCTTCCACTCGGACATCGAAACCGCGGACGGAAAAAGGGTCGACAGGTTTTCCATTGAGAGACATCTCTGGATATTCGGCGTGACACTCGTGGTACTCACTGTGCTAACTCTTGCCTCTTTCCTCGTATGGGAGTGGTGCCTACTGCGGCAGGATCGGGGGTTGGGGCCATGGGAAGAGGACGAGGAGCGGAGGCTATGGCGGGAAGCTGGGGACCAAGCCCAAGTGGTGAGGAGAGATTCGATGAAAATCGGATAGCTCCTGCTACCGGCGCTCCCCATCCACAAAACAGGTCCTCTAATACCGGTACCCTTGTGTTTTCTCTCCAATTAGAATCAACTCGCTATGTAAGTCAAGACGGAATTTGTATTAAGTTTAAGTTATGTAACGGGCCTTGGATTATGTTGTGTTTTTCGTTGGTCCACAGAGCTCAATTTGCGCCCAAGTCTCAAAGCACTCCCAGAAGCTATCACCTTAGTAAACCAGATCCGTGGGTATGATACCATACCAGTTTGTCCCTGTGGGTGTCAGGCCAGCCCTTGGAGCATGCCCGCCGCATAGGGGTTCCCGTGCTATGCCCCAACCCATAAATTCTACACATATCATACGCAACACATCTTTCCCCAAACGTGACCTCATCACGAAGTATCACTCGCAAACTTTCGGCCGCAAGGCAGCATGTACCCGTATGGGTAACATGCATAAGTTATGATAGCGATAAACTAAATAGCCCCACCACTTGGCCGGAATCATTCGCAGAGTTCCAGTAATGGTTTCCAGTGCTTGGGGATCCCGCTCCTCAGGCTACACTATACAGCGCTTCGCACAAGCGGAGCGCGGTCTCGAGCCGGACAAACAGTAGTGGATTCCCGCTGTAGCGTATGCTTGTACCGTACGGCGATGCACTGCCCATCTAGCCAGCTAAAAGCCCACATACCACAGTATCGTAGTGCGCATACCACACGACGGTCCAACGCAATGCCCTGAACGCCATCGGTGACCACCTACCTACTAGACCAAGTGACCCAGGCTTCACTAGCAATGGAATAATTTTTACCAAAACACGATACTACAAATATGATCGGTTGAGCAACAATCCAAGCTTTCCATTTCATTCCTTCTTTTTTTCTCTTTCTTCTTCTTTTACTTTTACTTGTTTCCCCCTCCCCTCCCTTTTTCAATAGTGACACGAAAAACAGAAGCCAAAGTCTGAGCCAAAAGGGAAGAGAGTAGAGGTGCATACATAAACTGGCAGTCGAGTAAAGTGAGAGTCAAATGTCGCATGAGTTAGGAGGAATAGTAGGTAAGGGATGATTGATATTCGACCCCGTTTAAGGATCAGGACGGGAAAGCAATCGAATGGCTCAGGAGAACGAACAGGTACCGGTAACAGCCCTTTCCGATGACAGTCCCACGTTTTAATTTTGTTTTGTATTTTTTGGTCATTTTTGCACATTGTCATCCATTTGCCTCTCATTCCACAGTATCGCAAAACCAGGGGTAGACCCAGGGAACTCTACTGCGGATGTATGCCCTCCGTACATCTGCATTGACCGATACGAGTACCGGCAGGACATAGATACCCTGCGGTATACATCTCGCTCCATGTGATTGTTGCCCGTTCGTATCGGTGTGATACGGTACGTGGAAGAACCTGATAGGCATCTCGCAATATACTTAGTGGGCTACAGGATCCTGCCCTCGGGAGTCAATCATGAAACATAGAAGGGTAGTTGGTATCACCTCTTGCCAAGAATACAGGAAACTATCACCTCACCTTCGGCAGGATTTACATGACCCATTTCTATAGGTGTCGTGCAAGGCTTACGACCTGCACATGCAGCCTAAGGACTTGTGAACATCCTTACTAATCAGTTAATTTTCAATAAAAACCAATTCCAGGCGTTATCATACACCTGCTCATCGTATTAACTGCGCTTGAATGGGCGATAGCCAGGCTCGGCTCACCTTCAGTCTATCATGAGCAATTCAGATCCTTACACTCATGGGTAGAGAGGGGGGGGGGTGGCTGCTGAAAGGAATCGACGACCCAAAATCCGCTCTCGCCACACAATTCCCAATTGCATCACAACTCTGAACGAAGATCCCCTTTCCCAAACCCTCAATAGGGTGGAGTGACCGGGGGGGTTTTTTTTCTATTCCCCCCCACGTGATTCTAAGTTGCAGACCCCAACCTCAATACTCTGCCGGTAGACATATAGGGGAGGAACCATGAGTGAATTGGGCCTGGCCTTAAATCATACCAATATACCAACCACGGAACAGTGTCCGCAAGTGGCAAGGCCACACCGCAGACAGCCTGGAGATATATTGCAACTTACATCCCAGCCGTGCCAGGTCGAAGTGAGGTCAACACAGGCTTCCGGTCTACGCCACGCGCCGTCAGAAAAACGCCCTTCCCATGGGCTGCACCTATCCCTCCATACGATCGGCGCACCCGAAGATATCCCCGAACCGGTTTCGGGTCCGGAAGGCAAAGAGGGAAAATGATAAGCCCAAAGCACTGAGTACAGTATATAGATGCTGGGCCATTTCCTACATATCTATCGCTCTATATCATATTCCCAAAACGTATATAAATTACCCGCACCTTAGAATCAACACTTTTTCCCCCACGGCGTCTTCTCCGCCGTATGGCTATCTAGGTAGGAGAGGTGGGGGTTCTCTCTCTCCATCCTGACGATTCCACATCGCACCCTGCCTTACTCTGATCCTGATATATCCGGTTCGGCTTTAGCCAGTCAGGAGAGAATATGGTACAATCGTACAATACGAGTAATATTCCGGGCCCTCACATAAATCTGCACCTAGGAGGGTTTTTTCACCCCGACCTCCATGACATTGTGGTGGAAATGCCGTTATAGTCACGTAGGCGCAGAGGCCGGGGTGGCTGAGAAATCTGCAGCGTTCCGTCCAATTCCGTATTAACGAATACAGATAAATCATTCTCAATCACTCGTAAATCTGCTGATACCCGTCGTCTTTTTCCTGGCAAGGCCACAGCCCAGATTCCGGCCGCCGCCGCCACCACCATCGTAAGAGAGTCCACGTCAATGCGCTTGCAGACTCAGTCCCAGCCTCCGCATGCTCTGGGAGAAGGGCAGAATGCCCGGAACAATAATGAACGACGTGAGCATCCATAACAAGAGGACAACATTCTTAAAAGTGGGGGGCAACCTCATGGAGTCGGGATGGGGAATCTCTCCGCTGATGAACATTGGCCACCATTCGCAACAAGCATCCCACAATTAGGCAATAAGTCACAAGGTTTAGAAAGTGATCACAGACCAATTCCAAGAACCATAGGCTGCAATCCCGAGAAAACAGTGGCCTTACGGGAGTAGCGCATGAGGACCGCTAGGTAGCTCAGTTATCCTATGCATAATAGATAGATAAACTATATATCGCTCGCAAGGTGGGCTCTGGCAGGGCTAGTGCACTCCTCGACACCTCCCTTCTCGCAGCCTGGCCCCTTGCGTTCAAGCATATATGCGGTACGACAGCCTGGTAGGTTGTGGCAGTGCTTGAGTGTTCGCACAAGTGGTATACTCCGACAATTCGGAACCAGCAGTTGGTCTCAAGAACAGGGAAAAATTATCTACGAAGTCCCGTTCTTCACAAGGAGCGGGTATAATGACAGGACATAGGGCTATGTCGATCGATAGTCTAAATTCTGGCCAATCATAGGCTGGCGCCTGCGCCGACTAAGCGGGAGTAACTGGAAGCAAAGTCCTCGCCCTTCACCTTACCCGAGTAGATCCTCCGCCTTGTCACGAGCAACGCCGAAAACCCCAGAGCAGGGACCGGAGTAAGGTAGGATATCATACCCGTACAGTACACAACTAGGGCGTGAGATTATCTTATGTATCATAATATTATGATAGAATATGGTATAATGCTATTTAAAAACGGTGCGATATATTATTTCATAAAAAGAGCCTGTACAGTACTGTACCGTACAAGATAAAAACCTACATATCAGGTTTCTTTGCAAAGAGCAGGAAAATGGATTCCAACCAGCACAACTGAGAAAACAAAAAATTGGAGAAGTAATACGCCTTATCTTATTACTTCCTTTAAAGCAAAACTCCACATTTGGAAGAAGAGGAAAGAAAAATCATTAAAATTCATCTGTAACTGCTAAAATTTAATTCAGGCATCCTATTTTTATAATATGAGTTAAAAATTTGTAAAACTGGGTTTAGCTAAATTTATATGGTTTTCCACAATTTTTTTTATTTTAAACGCCCAATGGATGGCTATATCTTTTCGGTAAATTGTGATACCAGTAAGAGAATACAATACAATACAATATCATGAAAATCGGCTTTAAAACTTTTATAGCACAACAAGATCTGAATCAGATTGGCCAAATCCCCATACAGGTTCACAGGAAGCTAAAGTTATTTTAGATGGTAAAAAGAGTATCTTACAAAAATAAATTGTTTGTAGAGGAGGTCCAATATGTAGTTTTTACTTTGTACTCGTATAGGCTCAAATATGATACTGTATTTTACCCAATCCTCCAAATTTCGTCCTTCAAAAATTCCACAATTGTCTACAAGTAAGAGGAAGGAAGGAAAAATGTTAGCTTAGTGTGGAGAATTCACTGATACGAGCCAGCCATTCTTGTATTGTTCTAATCCATTCATAGTCTCTTGTATCCTCTAGTACTTTCCTTTTATGAAACTCGAGTTCTAATTACCTCTGAAGATATTACAATCAATGTAAGAAGATTGATTCCTATCAACTAAAGCATGCAGGCGTCAAACTTGGTAGAAGTCCATAACAAGTCCAACCTACCCACGATATTATACATAGGACAAAATTGCCAAAAACCCTAACTTCCTTATTTACAGCTTAAGGAAACTTTGCTACTTAGAACTAGCATATCAGGATAATGAATCTTGGGGAACTTGAATGTATGTATATCGTATTGTATACACAGCCCTGAAGAATAATCACAATGGTGGAAAAGCTTCTCCTTCTGTAGAAGAGGGAACCTTTGTTTCCGCTGAGCCGTTCCGGGCTGTTAGTACATGCTTTAGTGAGTGTACTATTAGAAATCCCCCCAAGACACGGACGCAGACTAAACTAGGAAACAGCACGATAAAGTGAACTGCAGACCGCCATGCTTCGCTCAAGAGACGAGCACAGCCACTGTCGCCGTTTTTCACAATTTCACACGAGACCTCGCCCTTCTTTACTGCCCCGGGTAGAAAAAAAGGAAAAGGAAAAACGTGCGATACCCTTCACTTCATTCAGGGCATTAATCAATTGCTCGCTGCTCCACAACAATTACGTTCCCGACACGAGAAGGCTTCTCTTCTTCAAAAATCATATACAGCATGGCAAAACACCACCAAGGAATTCACGCACGCAAGGTCAAACGAAGTTTAACTTACCCACAGGACAAGTAGCGATCAGTCCTACAAGATACATATTCGACAGGAAAAGAAAAAAGTGAGCAAAGTAAAGTCAATCAATCAAGAAACATCTCGTGAGCCGGAAGCACCAAAAGACATAAAAACAGAAAAGACCGCACAAGGGAGTTTTTAGTAACCCGAGCAAAGGAGAAAGAAAGCGGAATGAACGGTATTGCCATTAGGCCAAGCCGTCGTCATCGTCTTCTTCGATGCCTGGTTGATTTGTTAGCTATTTACATCCGAGGAGAGGCGGTTTAGGAGCTGTCGTACTGCTCTTGACTCTTAACAACATTGTTGTCTTCCACTTGTCCAGCTTGCTCATTTGATCGTACAGGAAGATCTTGTCGGCGAAGGCTTCTGCGTCGCCACCGTCGTCGGCTTCGAGCATATCCTAGACCTCCCGATGAGTAAAATGTATAACCGGTGGAAGCAGTGCACAACACAAACATTCAAAAGCTGGAATTCCCTCATACTCGGGAAGCTAGGATCCAGCTCAACATAACTATCCAACGCCTTCTTGAATGCAATCTTATCACGACTAGCAAGGTGGCAGATCCCAGCCTTGAGGAAGTAATCCTTCATAGACCACTTCATCAAGTTATTCCCAGCACTACTCCTCGCAACACCCTCATACCGCTCAATTGCCTTGGGATACATCCCCTCCAGCGCTGCCAAGTCCGCCACCTTCAAGAACACTTTGTTGGCCAGTGCCTCGGCGTTATCGCTCTGGAACCAGTCACCAGCAATCTCGTAGGCCGCAACGGCCTTGGGTATGTCGCCGATCTCGAGTTCCAGCAGCTCGGCAAGATTCTGCTGATGCGTCGCAGCCCTTCGGAAGTTGCCTCTTAGGGTGTAGTGTTGGATTGCCTTCTCCAACACGCGGGCTGCACTACTCGGGTCATCTTTTCTGTAGGCTTTGTAGGCTTCGACGAAGCTATTTGCTGCGTCATCGGGCTCGTTGATTTCTTGCTGGATAGCGGCGGCCTTTTCGAGGGTCTGTCCCGCTTCTCTGCCTATTTGGTTCGGGTCAGCTTTGTGTTCCCGACATCAAGGGGTATCACAGGAGAGGAATAATAGTAAAGCCCGAACCTAGCTTTTGCACACGGAAAGCGTTAGCTGCTTGGGTGTATAGGTCCGCTGCTATCTCGAGCTTATCTTGTTTTCCGCCGAATAAGCTGAACCCACCACGGGCAGATGATGCCTGTTTATCGGCCTGTGTTCATGTTAGTAACCGCCGGAATGAAAGCGGGGGGGTAAGATATCAACCTTTGCTAGAAGAGCTCTAGGATCTTGGGCCATATTCTACCAGGAAGCTCTAAGATGGATAAATGTAAAGTTTAAGGTGAGATAGTTGTGAATGTACCCCGAGATGTTGTTGATGTCGATAGCACGGCGGGGTCTGGAATTCCAGGAGTGGACAATCGCCTCTCCATAGCCCAAGCGCTTATCTAATATTAAGAGCCTCACCCAGATTCCAGGATCTAATCTACTCCTGGTAGCCTCGGGTCTGTTCCTGTATCATTTTTTCCAATTACGGCAGGCTGGTTCTAACGGGTGCAGCCTTTCCCGCCAGTCCCCAACATAAAAAAAAAAACTCGGCATTCCCCTTTCCCTACCAACCCCAACACTCCCGACTGTCCTAAGAAAGGAAACTCTTTCCTGTCCATTTCTCCACCATCCTACCCTCCAGAGAAGTTCCCTCTCTTGCCCCCGGATTCCTTCACCAGCAATCCTTTGCCGAACAAAGTACCCCTTTGGTCTTCAAACTTTCATAACGACCTCCGACATCATGGTGCAGAAGCAAAAGAATAATCAGGCGTTATTGAGCACACCCCTGCATGGATTGTACATTCCGGCGGGATTGATCCTCGTAGGCACAGCTATTATCGACTATAACTATATTCCTCATGCTGCGGGTTTGGCTTTGCTTCTTGGTGGATTGAAGGTCTGGCGAGGAAGTAAGTTTCCCTTTTCACTCCTGTCTACCCGGTCAACTTGGGGATGGGGAGAGTTCGGCGAAAGGCAACATCGGCTGAATCCTTGAACCCGCAGAAGCAAGAACAATCCTCAAGCCCGATCAATTGCAGGACTTTGAGCTCGTCGAGAGGACCGTGATCTCGCACAATGTCGCAATGTAAGTTAATCGCTTTACCTATAAATTTTCAGTCTTTCCAGTCGCTGAAAGGAGCCTCCAGCTACCGTTTCGCCCTCCCCCGAGCAAATGACATCCTCGGTCTTCCAATCGGCCAGCACGTCTCCATCACCGCTACCATCGACGGCAAGGAGATCGCCCGCTCCTATACCCCTATCTCTTCTGACCTTGACCGTGGTCACTTCTCCCTTCTCATCAAGTCTTACCCAACCGGTAACATCTCAAAGTGCATCGCCAACCTCAAGATAGGACAGACCATCCGCGCGAAGGGACCAAAGGGACACTTTGTCTACACTCCCAATATGGTGCGTGCATTTGGTATGATTGCCGGTGGCACTGGTATCACACCAATGCTGCAGATAATCAAGGCCATATTAAGAAATCCTGAGGACAAAACTCAAGTCGACCTTATCTTTGCCAATGTCAATGTTGAGGATATTCTCCTGCAAGAGGACCTAGATGAGCTAGCAGCGATTCACGATAATTTCAGAGTCCACTACGTTCTCAACAGCCCACCAGAGAATTGGGCCGGTGGCGTAGGGTTTGTCACAGCGGACATAATCAAAGTTTGTCCCTTCCCTTGTTCCGTACATTTACAAGTGTAGGGCTAACATAATAACGAAGGACAAATGCCCTCCGGCCGCCGCGGACATCAAAATGCTCATTTGCGGTCCCCCGCCCATGGTCAGCGCCATGAAGAAGGCTACTAGTGCTCTTGGATACGAGCCTGCCAAGCCAGTATCGAAATTGGATCACCAAGTATTCTGCTTTTAAAATGAAGATGTATTTTTTGGGGAGGGGACAAACGGAGTTGTTTCTTTCGTTGTTTGTTTTTTTGAAGGGAAAATATACAGTGTATACTGATAGATTTGACGGTTTAATTTGTTGGCGATCCTCGAGTAGTTTGTTCTGCAGCTGATTCAGCTGCTAGGCCGTTTGTCAACTTTGCTAACTGACTTCCCGATGGTTGTCGCATCTGCCGAAAGTCAAAGCAGGGGGGTGAGATGGAAGTCGGCATATGATAGATGGTCTATCTTCTCGCTTTCAATACCCTAATTCCAATAGGTCTTAATGAGATTTCCCTCCGCCAGGCCCGATCTGCCTACGCAACACTCTATCTACGTGAAGATTCCGCCCGCTTGGATGCTTGGTGGTATAATCTTTTTTTTTTTTTTCTAGTGGACAAACCACAAACACAAATGCATGGCATTAGTCGGGAGAAATACTCATGACAAATCACTCGCCCCTCCAAATCATATCATTCAAGCATACACATCATAGTACAAGTACTGTACAGGACATCCACCAACCGCACATGCCTCCAGAGTTTTGGCGTAACAAACACTACCCACCCAAAGTCCTTTCAACTCTCGCCACCAAATCCACCTTCCTCCCACTAGTATCCAATCCCTTCCCTTCCAACCACGCCCTCAACTTCGCAACCGTAAGCCTCCCAACTCCGCCGCTCCTCCACGTGGCCATGACTTCATCCCCCTCCCCTCTATCCTCACCCTTAACCTTCTTCCTCGGCACGCCCTCCCCCTTGACCAGCGTGCTCCGCTTCGCAGCTGAAGTCCTCGCGGCCGGGGTGGCGAGATTTCCCGCAAATTTTTCCAGCTCCACACCCCACTCCCGGCAGTAAGTGCCTGCATGCTTGTCTATGAGTTTGTATTTCGGCAGCGTGGTGTCGGTTGGTTGGGCGGGCATATCCTCGTCCAGGGCGATGGCTTGTAGGATGCGGTAGTGCCATTGGAGTGAGGGGTTAGAGTATTTGTCCGGTACGTAGCCCCTTGGCATGTGCAGCTGTTTTACAACGGCGCGCATGCGGTCGATCAGGGGGGCAGGGGCTAGCGTTTTTTATCAGCCATTGCCCAGCACACTCACACCTTGGGAGGGGTAGCATGCATACCGCGAACAAGTTTATTCTCCGGGTTCTGCCTAACGTCGTCTGCGAAAGGCAAATGTATAAGGAAGAATCCCGGGGGAGTAAGCTGTACACCATCATCCCCGAGCTCTTCAACGCTGGGAAGAATAGCCACGATCTGAGGCGCGGCGTTCTTGCGAGGGATGCACCAGGCGATGCCCACTTTCTCATCCCTCACCAGCGTTGCGTGTAGTGCCGCGAAGACTCTCGTCGAACCAACGTACCCAGTTTCGTCGGGGTATATGAAGTTCGCAGGCTTAACATTCATGTCAAACCTCAGCGTGGACGCAGGCTTGAAGCCGATAACCCTGATAATCGGCTCGCCAAAGTTCCTCATGGCCTTCATTTCCTCGGGGGTGAACGATATCTGCTCGCCACCGAACTTGTAAGCTTTGCGGATCTCGGCCTTGTCGACCACCTTCGCAGTCTCTTCGGCGAGCCGGGTTGTCACGCCTTTCACCATCTGCGCTTTTTCACCGCTGGTGTAGACGTAGTGACTTCTAGCCTTCTCCTGGCGCTTGAACAGGAGGTAGCCTTTCACGCCGATTACTAGACCAGGGCCCAATTCGAGTTTGTTGGTGAAGAGAGCACGCTTAGGCATTGATTTCGACTTTATGCTCGAGACCATTTGCTTCAAGCGCATCCTACCACTCACAGCAGCCTGGGGGTCATCCTCCTCGTCCGTGTGAGAGCGGTACACGATATCATCGTAGAACTTTGACGAGTCGAAGCCGCCCTTCGCCGGGTTGTAGATGAAGAATGGGTCAATCCGGACACCGAGGTCGTAGAGGTCCCGAGCACGGGTTATAGAGCTATTCTTGAGCGCCTTGTCGGTGCTATGCGGGTCGTCTTCGTCGGTTACTATAAACAGCCGACGGGATTGGAAGTTTGCAGCTTTGGTCGTGAATATTTGATTCACGGCGAAGAGGACATTGGCCATGGAGACCTGCTCCTTGGCCGGCTTAAGAAGGGGTTCGGACTCTTGGGGATCTAGCACATGTCGCCGCTACCGTTATCATCGGCTCCAGGAACCAAGAAGCGGTGACGCAAACCTTCAATAATATTCTTCAGCCCTTTAATCCCCTCCGCATCGGGAATATCAAGATCCAGCAGCAAATAGCAATGATCATACCCTCCTCCTCCCCCACCAGTATCAAACTTTGTAGCTTCGGTCCCAAACAGTAGTATACCCATCATGTCATTCGGGTTCGAGATAATCCTAGACTGTAGCACCCCATACGCACACTGCAATGCCGTGAGCACCGCCGAAGCAGGCGTAGAACCCTTCTTCTTCCCTTCATCTCCATCGTCGAGCTCCTGGGGTGCCAACATTGTGGTCGAGACCTACCATACTTCATCAGATTATTCGCTCTCCCCGGTGGGGGGTCATTAGAGGATGGACCAGATCCATACATACATTGATAGCAAAGAGGATAGCATCCTTCTGACTCATGTATTGCTATTCCACCATCACCACACCATTAGCCACACACCCCACCCATGGAGTGGGAAAGTCAAAATCAAACCTGAGAATCCTCCTCCTCCTCATCCTCATTAACGTCATCATCTTTCGGCGTCCATTTCCTGGTTTCCGACATTTTTCTCACAAGTCCGCTATTCCTGTTTGACGGTGATTAGGGAAAGAAATGCTGAGTGTGCCCGTCTCCTCAGAGGTAGCGGGGGAAGACGCGTGGTTGCCAGGAAACCAGGTGACAAGGCTAACACCCAGAGGTGGGTATGGCAACCGCGGGAATAACTTGTGCACAGTACTGGTATGGTACCGGTACGAGTATAGTACTGTACTAGTACTTATACCGGTAATTAGCAGACTACGGTACAAGTATTAACTTAGCCAGGATGGGGGCCAGAGAAAGAACTGTAATTAATTTCTGTTCCGGAAGCTAAAAACCTCCCGGGTTCGGTAATATTAGGTAAAGGCGAACCACCCCACCCGCACACGAGCAAAAAAGAAAGTACCGGTGTGGAAGTTTCTCTGTTGTCTTCCGTACGGTAATCTGGATGGTGTGATTGACCGAGCTGACACCTGTGCAATTATGTTGACCGTGCCACGTGATATTAAATCAGATAAGAGAGTAGAATTATGCTGACAAAGTTGACAGTAAAACACAGTGAGAAAGCAAGAGAAGAAGAGTGGGGAAACAAAGCTCCAAAATGACAACAAAGAAGGTGGTGTAGAAGGTAGTACAGGACGGGTCTCTCTAGTGCTCTCTAGTGCTCTGTAGTGCTCTGTTCCTCCTCTCTCTCTGAGGAAGGCAAGGCCATGCCTCCGGTGAAAAATTTCCACCTGCTAAGCCTCATCCCAGGTGGGGGATTCTGTGGGTGAGGACCTGCGGAACATGACCAGAAAACCCCTAGACTATCCTTTATCCTGCCACACCGGTACGGGTATGGTAAGGTTACCGTTGGAAGAAAGTAAAAAACGTTGTACCGGTACCGTACTCGAGTACCGTACCGTACCGTACCATCTGGTACGATACAGTCCCGTGTCGTTATCATAACCGGACCAAACTGAGTCACTCCATGATGCCGTGACACAGCTATCACTGCACTTGCACATCTTCTTGGCATGGGTCATGCTCATCCAGTTCAGCCCTAGTTCAGTTCGGACCAATCACGGCATGATATCATACAGCACAACGGAAATCACCCCTCCCCCACCACCTCCCCCGGCTACGGCTGTGGGCTGTCAGATCATATCTAGACTAACTTATCATAGAACTGCAATCCTCCCTCCATGTTACCGTAGTCTACCGTACCCCGCAGACTGTAGGATTGTAGGCGTGAGTGATTATCCATGATACCGAGATCAACTGCACTCTCCACTCGTACATTTTCACCAGGAGCACCGATCACCACCACCACTGCACACAGCCACGGGTGCCGGTAGGTCATGCGTTGGGAGCCCCGGTAGGCCGCATCCACTTTCGCCGCTCAACGAGAGCCTGGAAGGAGCTATTGTCATACCTTTACCCTCTCTCTCTCTCTCTCT